CATATCAAACAATTGCCCCCACAAAGTTATCCTTCGTTTAGCAGCCATATATGGTAATCTTACCTTATTTGGAAGTTCGATAGGAATGGTTTTTGTCGATTTTCTCGACTTTTAAAGCTTGAAATCGTCGGAAACTTGCAGATATTATAGCGAAAACACTTCTAAACAATCCGCCATTTTGTTTGTTTCCATATATGGCATGGATTCGCTAAAGGAAGCCCAAAACTAAAAAGCACAGGGAACCCGCACGAATGATATAAAATTCTTTGATTTGGAAAACGACTCTAATTTTTGCCTCTCGTTAGGTATTGAACAGCCTGCATCTTTTACATTCAGGCCTACCAACATTGTATTGAGTAAATGAGAATAAAAATTTGGTAGTCCTCAGACATCTTTGAGTGCATGATGATGTCGAATCGACATCAGTGCCTTTAATACCTTATGTTTTATACCAGCCATCATTTAACATCTACTGCACCTTTAAGTGATGATTTGTCATTTCTCTAGAACTTGACTTCGCTTGAAAGTAGATGGTCTTTATTTGGACCTGAAGGATCATGAGCCAATAAGACGTTTAATTTAATGATTGGTGCTTTGTTGTATATTCCAATAGTCCCTGTGGACGGCCAATACAGCGGTTGGTCTGCCTGGTCTCAATGTACAAAGTCGTGTGGCGGAGGAACAAGGGAACGCACTCGTACCTGTACTAATCCCAGCCCTAAGAACGGAGGGAAAAACTGCAGTAAATTTGGTCCATCTAAGGATAAAGGATCTTGCAATACGCATGCGTGCCGAAGAGGTAAAGCATGGTCTGAGTGTTTGCTAAGGCTCACATCTCTCGATCTCCAGTCAAAAGAGTAATATTGTCGAGAGAAATATAGCTACTCACCTTCCTCTCACGTCCAGCTCGATGAAATTCAGTACACGTTTCAACATAAAATAAGCTCAAATCCGAGCTTTTTTTCACATTAGCCAGCAAAAGGTATTTTTCTGTTTCAATGACAATGTTTTATTTGTTCAACTTCAATTAAATTGTTTTAAAGTGGAGTAATTCATCGATTTCTTTTATTATTTTTCGAAATTACAAAGTACAAGTTTTGAAATTGAACTATGTTTCTTGAAACATGTAAGGTATTTATGATTGTTATATATCAATCTTCAAGATGATGATATTGAAATATAAGTTGTTGGAGAAACTGAGAAAAAACTAACACAACCAAACACGACTGGATTTGGATCAGAACTGGTTTACTTGTGTAAAGCGCGCGCTACAAACGGGATAGCTCCAGACCTTGTCACATACAGTTGACTGTGCCCAATGTTGTGAAATAGACATATCATGAATATTTGGAGAATGAAATAAACTGATAATGTGCCACTAATTTATGTTTGATTGCAGAGCAAGGTGGACATTAGGGGAGTAAGAATCTCTAGTTATATAATTATCTGGTCGCCAATACTCATTTCACATGCTAAATCTGAACTCTTCGTGAGGTTAAAAATAAATGTGCTATGCGCATGTTTTAATTGTCCATTCCGACCACACTACGCATTACTGCTAGTGCTATATGCGCTTTATGTTTCGGCTGACAAAAGTGATTGTTTTGATGTTTAATCTTATTATTCATAGTTCACGGTGGATACTCGTGGTGGACCAGATGGTCCAGATGTTCTACGACATGTGGGAGAGGATACCAGTACCGTTCACGTACTTGTACTAATCCCAGACCCCAATACGGTGGAAGAGACTGCTGGAGACTCGGTCAAGCTAGGCAGCAGAAGCAATGCAACATACGACGTTGTCCAGGTAAAAATTTCCTCAAACATTCTAGCATTTATATCAGGTATGCAAAAATATTTCCGCATAATATCAAGATATTCCGTAACATAGAATTTTTGTCTGAATATTCCTAGTTAACGGCGGGTATACACCATGGTCCACCTGGTCTCAATGCAGCAGGACCTGTGGCGGAGGAAACCAAAATCGCTATCGCTATTGCACTAATCCAAGACCCAGAAACGGAGGAAGAGAGTGTAAAGAACTGGGCAACGCTAAAGAACCTAGAGTTTGCAACAAACAGACATGTCCAGGTAATAGATATATCGGTTTCTGAATTGTTTATCATTTAAAAACCCTCGCTGAAACTTTTCGGAGTGAAAAGAGGATTATTTGGCTAAATCTTGCTGTTTCCTTGATAAGAAAGAAACCGATTAGAGCTAGCGAACCTGCACAACTTGTTTGTATGATTCTAGCCGGAAAAGAATTGCTAGCAAATACAAGACTAGCCTGCGTACATCCGGTTTATACTCTGCAACAACCGTCTGCGTATAGGTGACCGATATCGTGTTCTGGTAATCCCTTCCCCCCTCCGCATACGATTTGCTACCTGATTGCGATTGTTTGTTTTGAGGATGTTCCTGATTGGCCAAAGTCGTTTGTCCGTTGTTTTTAACGCTTTAGAGAAATAAACAGTTTACAAGCTGAAAGCTGATCAGCTTTCTCAGTAATCGGCACGACTTGCAAATAATTTTGCACAGGTCACGGACAATAGATAGGCTTTTCAACTCAAACATTTGGATTTCTTCGTTTTCACTATATATCACAGCGGCCATCTTGGAGGAACTTCAACAAAGGATTTCTCATTAGTATCTATTGTTCAGTCCTCTAACATGTCCGCCGGTCTTTTATCTTTGAATACCATGTCAATGGTTGAAAACGATCAATTTGTGAATTTGTTTCGCTAAGATATCGGTCACTGTAGTTTTAAAAAAATGCCTTGTCTAAAGCATAAAGCAAATTATTTCAATTGATAAGAGAACAAAAAATAACGAGAATGAAAAGTTCAAGTGAAGTGGGGAACACGCGAAAACAATCACAGCATTGTTTTAACAGCTGAGAATGTCCTTGAACTATGTCTATAGCCAATCAAAATACAGGTAAGAAGGAACCAATCAGAGCGTGCACTCGAATCAAGGTACACAGGTGAGAACACGAAATCGTGCACTGTTTCTCAGACGGTTTTTACGAGTAAACTCTAAATGAAACTAATACAAGACATGACCATAGTAAAATAACAGTTGTGTAAGAATGTAATCAATTTAATAGATTTAACACTGTAGTGTTTCGGGTTACCTGTGTAATCACGTGACAAGAACGTTGAGTAAACGTGTGTTCAAGCGACTTATGTGTTGTGTAGTTTGTATCCTTTGTGGAACAGTTTTATAGCCTTAGTGGCACATTACATTGGCGACGAAGATGCCTGGCAAACAATTGCCAACAGTCTCCTTCACGGATACCTGCGCCATCTTGAAAGGTAGCCGTGCCTTTGCACCGAAGCGAGACGTCCGTTGAGCGTGCAATGATAGATACCTGTGAATAATTGTCTGTAGGTGTGAAAGAAGGTATCTATCATTGCACGCT